CTTTTCTTTCTCTTTTTGATGCCAAGAATTGAACCCAGAGGTGCTTAACCACTGAGCCACACCCCCAGCCCTTTTCTTTATTTTTTATTTTGAGACAGGTTCTTGCTAAGTTGCCTAGGACCTTGCTAAGTTGCTGAGGCCGGCTTTGAACTTGCGATCCTCTTGCCTTACCCTCCTGAGCCTCTGGGATTATAGATGTGCACCACAGTGCCTGGCTCTAATTTCTTATCACTCAATTTATTTCCATGATAACCAAACCTCTTGCATCACTAACAAACCCACAGTCTGTGCTGAGGTTTGAAGAAAAGGTTTTCCTAAAGTGTGACATAGATTTAGTTACTCTCCAGGAGGGTAAATTTTCTTGATTCAGAGAGGGCTTCCCTTGGTTCAGCCAGCAGATTCCTGCCCAGTGAGATTTAGCCTCACCCCTCAAATAGAAGGATATCCTCTGCTTCTCCCTGGGGCAGTTGAAGCTGGGAGGAGTTCAGGGTTCAGATGCCCTGGAGGTCCCAACCAAATTGTATAAAGCTTTTGATTAATTGTATGAGGCTGCATTAGTTAATTCCTGCTTCTCACTCAGGCCCAGCTTCCATATGATTTCCCTTGGAAGCCATCCCTGACCCCAGCCTAGCCCAAGTCTCCCTGGTTTATATCTTTCTCTTTATATCACTCATTGAGATCATTTTAATCACAGCATTTGAATGTAGTCTTTCTCCTTTACCTGGATTATAAACTTGGGTTGGGAAAGGAAACACATCTGGTATTATCCCATACGTGATATGTCCCCCAAAAGATCACATGTGAGACAATGTGAGAGGGTTGGTGGAGGTTGGGGATGTTAGGAGGAGATGTTACGTTGTGAGAGCCTTAAACTAATCAGTGAATCGATCCCTGATGGGATTAACTAAGCGATGGCTGGAGGAGGTGGGGCATCGGGGGCGTGGCTTTGGGGTATATATTTGTACAGGCGAGTGCAGCCTCTCTCTCTCTCTCTCTCTGCTTTCTGATCATCATGAGAGCCACTTCCCTCTGTTATACTCTCTTGCCATGTTGTTCTGCCTCATCTTGAGCCCCAAGGAATGGAGTCAGCTGTCTACGAACTGAGACCTCTGAAACCATGAGCCCCCAGAGAAACATTTCCTCCTCTACAATTGTGCTGGTCAGATCTTTTTGTTACCGCAGCAAAAAAGCTGACTAAAGCAACATCTGTAGTCTCTCCTAACAGCCCCAGCAACTAGCACTCTACTGTATCAGGCGTAATAGGAGCTCAGTAAATATTTGTCTAATAAATGAATTAGTGACACCTACTCCCGTTAGTCTTTGAGTATTTAGAAGGAAATAAATACTATGCAATTCATCATATGAAAGGGCAAATCACACTAAGCTTTCTTTGCCTGTCCTGCTAGGGGACACTTTGTATTCACAGGTGTCCTTACAAATAGAAGAGACCAAGAATGCTTGTGGACATTTCTGTTGTGACATTTTCAGGCAGGTTGATCTTTCGTCTCTCAGAGACTGCCAGGGGTAAATGGAAGAACAGTGTCTACCTTCTTTGAATGACATTGTTTGTGTGCCCTGTTAATGTAATAGAGAGATTAAGAAATTTGGGCCACTTACTTTGGGCAGGTAGCTTAAGCTCCATGGACCTCAGTTTTCTCATTTGTTATGTGGGGATAATAACTTTCCCTATTTAATAAGGTCTTGGTAAGCATGGCAGGGATGTAGACTTTTTTAGCATCCATAGTGCCTGTCACATCAAAAGTGCTCCATAAATGTTAGTCATCCTTATTAATATTGTCATTCATCCCCTTGATGGACTTTTGTGCACTGTAAGCGCAGAGGTTCTGTTACACTCAGATCTGAGATGCCAAAGAAGATGAGGCAGAGCACAGGGCTCATGTGAAGCAGGCCATTCCCCTTTGCAGACTCAAGCCCCTCTCTCCTCTCACCTGGCACAGAGGTACCAAATGCCACAAAAACAACAGCTGTGACTGAATCCTTGAGACCAATTGTGCAGCCAAAGTGGGAGGCCAGGTCCCCGATGATGGCGGTGAGCATGCCGATGATGAGGATGGAGACCACGAAGCAGGCCCAGCCGTGGCAGTACTCCGTGGGGGGCACGCAGGCAAACAGCACCTTCCAGAAGACCGTCAGGAAGTGCATGACGTAGTCAAAGCAGGATGGCAGCCTCTCCTCCCCTGACTCATCCTCATCCTCATCCCCTGCTGGAGACAAGATAAGCAAGCCCCAGAAAGGACAGTGAGTGAGATCAGATCCTCATTCACGGAAAATCAAGTCCATCCCACATTGCAGGCGTCATTGACCAGAGGGGGTCTACAGCTCTCTCTGGGCATCTGGTGACCCACACGGGGTGTGGACATTGGAAAACAGCCAGGAAATGGGAAACAATTTGGTCATTTGGTTGTCAATTTGGATGCAGGCACAAAATGAGATTGGGAGAAAGAGCAAGGGAACAAGGAAGAGAAGAGACAAAGAGGTCGACAGGGTGGGAGAACACGAGAAGAGCAAGGTCATGGAAGAGGAGGAAGGGAGGATGGAGCAGGCTGTATTTGACTCCGAGGCCCAGAAAAGAAAATGCACTCTGTGCTCACTCTTCACTGGATGCCAATGAGGCTCCCCTCGGATTATCTGGACCGGCTTCTCTGATAAACATCGTATGTCTGGTCATTATCCATCCTCAGATGGCTGTCATTCCAGATCATGCAGGTTTACCAGAGAGCCAGTACCCTTTTCCAAGTACCCCATGGGACAGAGCGGGGAATGGGCCTCGATTGTCCTTGCCAGGAAACATGAGCAGAGTTGCCCATTCAGCATCTCAGAAGAGATGTGCTGTCGCCTCTCAGTTCCTGGTCAAGATCAGCTCGTCACGTTTGGGCATAATGGGTAGAAGCTGAGTTTCTAAAGAACAGCAATCAGGAACCGGGTTCCAATTCCAGTTTTACCACAAAGAAAATCTGTAACTAGGGTACATTATCTATTGTTTTTGAAGCTCAGTTCCTGCATTGGTAAAAGGAGAAGGGTAGATTCTGTGGACTACATTCTGTTTACTGTCTCTTGAGGGGCACTGTCAGGTCATCAGAGGGGGCAATGGAAGGATCGATGTGAAAGTAGGGCAGCAGCAGCAGCAGCAGCAAACCTTTCTTCCTGGCGGTACTTTTGCTCTGGCTCTGGGGCCTTGGGGATGTGACCCTGTGAGTTGCTATGACAACAAAACCTCCTGAAAAAAGACAAGGCCAGTAGTGCTCAGCAGTACAAAGAGGCCTCAGTGATGCTGAGAGGCAATGTGGGGTGGTTGGGAGACTCTGTTCATTCCCATTCTAATGTACCTGCAGGCCTCTGGGACTCCTGGCTGGGCTGTCAGTCAATGCTGAAGTAGAGGTTTGGAGTCATCCAGGGAGGAGATTTGTTCAAGAGTCAATGTAAAGCATTTTGAAAACTCCTGACCCCTATCTTGCGAGATCAGAATCATCCCTCATTTCATAGAAAAGGGAGATCAAGTTCATGAGAAGAAGGAATGACAAAAAAAAAAAAAAACCAACAATTTGTGGTGTACTTGTTTGGTACCTGACTCTGTACCCTTTCTGCTTTTCTGAGAAATGTAGTGATAGTTCCCTTTTGGGATGAGGACATTGAGGACAAAGAGGATTCTTGCTCTGGTCCACATAGGACGACCAGGATTTGAGGCCAGACACAGCCATACTCTTTTTAGTCACCCCACCATCCTCTTCCAAAGTGACCCAGTGAAGCAGCTGAATACCGAGCACCAGGACTAGGAAGATGGAATGCAGCCACCCCCCCAAAAAAAAACAAAAACAAAAACAAAAACAAAAAAACAACTGGTGAGCCACTGATGGTGTCGTGCTCTTGCTTCTCCTGGGTTGTCTGCTTCTCCCAGCAAGGCCATTTTTAGACCCTTCATACCTGCACTGACAGTGATGGCCTCCATGAACTGGTCCCTCCAGGAGTGGGTCCCCACAACCAAGGCCAGGTTTGTCTTCCTGATCAGTTTGTCCACTGTAGTCTGTCAGGGAAAGAAAAACTTGAACTCATGAGGTTAGAGTGCCCAGAACCAAGGAGGAGCCTGCTGCTTCAGAGGAATGAAAGATGCCCTGCATCCTGGGGTTCTGGAAGTTATGGATGGAGCAGCCACGTTGGTTTAAATCCTCTGGGGCAATCTTCTACTTGCCTTTTTTTTTTTTTTTTTTGGTTATGACTCCTGACATTGGATATTTGGAGAGAACAGGGTCTGATGTCAATAAACCTTGCCCTACACCACTGAGTTTTAGTGTCTTTGTTTTAAAGATACAATTAAACAATTGTGATGATACATCTACCATCTTTCTAGCTATTCATTTCATATTCTGTATTTTTTTTCACAATATTTCCAGCACTGTTGTTTCAGGTTACAAATGGGGAAAGAGACACCTGAAGTGGGTAAGTGATTTGTTCAGCTTCAACTTCACATATTCAGTGGTGAAACTGGAGCAGAACCCCAGGTCTTCTGCCCCCATCCTGATTGATCTATTATTGAATTAGACCTCACTGATGGCCTGACCTTGAACTCATAGGACTCTTCAATGATGACCTCTAGTTTGGGGTGTTCACCCAATATTGGCTTTCCCATCTCTGCTATCCTCTTGGCTTCCTCTTCCTCCATAGTCAGCTTCCTGTCTGTCACCTCTGCAAAAAAAAAAAAAAAAAGGAAATCAAGCAAGCTTTAGAACCTTTTCCATGTCTTGGCAATTTAAAGCTCAGCATATTAGACATGTGCGACAGATACAAAACAAATAGCTCTTGGGAATGGGGACTTTGTGCATTTTACTGCCTCTTTCTATGTATGTCGTGCTAAACACTTCATGACCATTGGGCCAGGAGAGGATTCTTGTAGGCTTGGATAAGAAGTCCTGTTTGTATACCTGGGTGGGCAACATGACTCAAAGACCTTCTGAGAAATAGCACCAAGTAAAGTCCCCCAAATCATTCAGTGTGTTGTGGGGAGCTAGTAAGGAAAGTTGAACTCTTGACATTTGACTATTTTGAACAGTTGGGCCTGTTTAACTTCATGTAAGAGTTCTTGGAGGCACAATTATCCAAAGAGAACAGCTGGTCCACATCAACATCTGTTTCCAACATTGCAGGTTCTCTCCCCTCTGGAAAGGAGAAAGGGGGTTTCCAGGGTGTCTACATTTTGTACAAGAGACGATTGTCCTCCTGGTGAGACACTTGGAAGATTTCCCCCCAAATATCATGGTGTTCCAATGAATGATTCCCCAGTGTTTCCATACAAATGAGGCCTATTTCTTCTGGAACACAAATACTTATTCAAACATAAAATAAAATAAAGTTCTTCCTTTACTTTCTCTGGAGGCATTCTCTGTGTCCCTCAGCATCTTGACTCATTTACCATTCTCGTGTCGCACAGTTAGACATTTTTTCTGCTTCATCTGGTGAGTCCATTTTAAGACCACTTCACCATGAAGACATGTTTTCTGGATTAGAGTGAAATAGAGATGGAATCTTTTTATTCCCCTTTGATTAGAAAATCGCTCTTGGCGGCCTGTTTCTTTCAAAGCTCATTTAAACATCTTCCCATCCAAGTCCACATTCTCACATGCAATTAATTCTTTTATTCGGCTCCTTAATTGCTTTCATTCCACACAGTAAACCTCCCAGGGGAATTCGATAGTCCTTGGATAATATGAAGGACGAGATGGGTCAGAGGCCAGGAAGATCTTTTTTTTTTTCTTTCTTTCTCACTGGGGAATTGGTGAAGCAAGGGGAGGGACAAGGCTCAAGTTCTTGAGGTTGCAATAAAAAGAATTCTCGGAAAAGACCATAAACCAAGAATATAAGTTACTAAAGAGAGAGCCTTGTATTTTTATATAACATTTATTTTCTTTATTCTTTCTCTCTTTTTGTTTTTTCTTTTCTCTCTTTCTTTCTTTCTTTCTTTCTTTCTTTCTTTCTTTCTTTTTTTGGTAGACATGGTATGAATGTTCACAGTCTCTGATTTTTGCATTTGCTGTTTTATTACTGTCCCTGGCATCAAATATAAAAAGCAGTCCCAAAACTTCGTGGGAGCTGTCCATGGTCCTAACCCCCCTCTGGTGCTGGTGGCCACTTTTGGAAACAAGTATTTCTCAAGGATGAATGTTCTTTTATATATTTTTAAGTCAGAAGACACCTGCTAGCATTCTAACTACATTTAATTAATTTATTCTGGTTCTCTGGTTAGTTAATTCTGAAGGTATATCTGTGTGCATCTAGGGTTCTGGCTATGCACAAGGCCAGAAATCCTAGAAATCAGTCTGCAAATCACACTGGAAAAAAGCCCTTAGAAAAAGACATATAGATTCCTTCAAAGAATGGAATAGTTTTTTCCTCTTCTTTCAGGGTTTGGCACCATATCATGATGCCTGTCTTAGCAGTGACAGTGTTGTTCCACCCCTCCCTCCCAGTTCCCCTATGTCTTACTTTTACATGTGCCTTAAGAACTTTAGACCACTATAATGAGCTCTCCAGTGACATAGAAATGTACCTGTCTAACCCCTTGTCTAGCTATCAATCTATCCCTGTATCCATCTGGCATGATATTCATCTACCTACTGACCTGTCCACCCCTGTGGTGACAGCCAGTTTTTCCATTTAGTTTTCAGCAAAAAAAAAAATCTTTTTTGACAAATAACCAATGCTCTATCTTTAGGTCTCCTACAACCCCACATGAGGCACTCTGTATTTATCTGTTAATTGATTGATTCACATGCCTCTATATAAACTCTGATTTAGCATCTTGGTTTGGCAGCAATTCCTGCCTTTTTCTATTTTAGTAATAAGCATTGCTTTCAATTCAGATCAAATTAATTTCTTGAGAGAATGTTAAGTCTCCAGCTTAGAATATTATAGTGAGTCTGATCACTTGTTGGTGGAACTCCTCAGAACTTCAAGTGAAGAGAATAAATGACAGGTGATCCTGATATGCAGACTGACTAAACACACTATCAGTTCTAGGAATAGAAAAAAAAAAAGATAGGTGGGAACGAAAAGAAAGAGAGAGAAAGAATATGAATCAGATGGAAGATTGGACAAGTACTGAAAGCACAAAGAACTTGCCAAGCCAGACAAGGCTGTGAATACTCTGCAAGTATCCTTACTGAGAAGTGAGGTGATACAGCCAGGGCTGTCACTCCCAGGCCCTTGAGCTTGGTGGGTAGCTCGGGATGAACATATTGACTTTCTGTGTCTAGTGCCACCAGGCATTTTAGCCACTTCAGTCTATCCTGCCAGGAATAAGAATTTGAGTTTCCCAGTGAATTTAAAGCCTAATCAAAGCTTTCTAAATTAAAGATCTATGGATTGGAATGTCTAGAAAAAGTGTCGTTCCCCCCCCCCAATTTTTAGTTTCTAGTGATATTTGAAAGTGTGTTAAAAGTATAAAGAAACTTAAGGTCAATCCCAATCTTTGTTGTATGCATATTTGTATGAGGTAGAGGCAAGATCTGGAACAGACGAATCCAAATATCTTCTCATGCAAGAGGATGAATGAAATGGAGAAGACCCAATGTTATGAGATCAATCCCCCAGGAGAAGCATGAAAAATACTGTTGGCTATGGGTATGGCCCTTGTCCTGTTGGTATTGCAAGAAGCCAAGGAAACCGGAACAATGTTTTTTTTTTCCCCCATAAAAGTAAAGTATAGGCATAACCTACATTTTTTTTGTTGTTGTTGTTTAGGCTCCAAGGAGGCAAATGTCCTTGGTATGTCCATGGCCTCCTCCTAAGCCCAGAGTGTAGCTGGTAGGTGAGTATGACTATGAACTCTGTAAGATGCTTTTCCTCTTAAATGACTTTAAAATTTTCTGTGTTCAAAGAATGGATGAGAGATAAGACATTCTTTAAAAATACATTGGAACTCTCTTGTGGAGCCCATTCTGCCTGCATCAAGAGTTATGGCATTGCCAGATATGGGGAAATGCTTTCCTATCTGCTCATAACGTTGGATATTTGTGAACGGTTTCTAGTCACACCAGCACACTCTCAAAGTAGGTGTACATCCTACACAGAATCTAGATTCTCCAAGAGAATCTCCACAAAATAAATTCTCTAAAATGTCTATGTCCAGCCCAGAACACTGTGCCCATTCCTCTTCCCGTTGTTCACAGAACATGTCACTTTAAGGGTCAATGACAAATGCATCAAAATTCTAGTAATTTAGCTTTCATCTGTGATGAGATGGAAGATCTCCAGGATCAGTAAAATTTCAAGTTATTTATAAAAAAAATGCTTTTTATGCTCTCACAGCTACTTTTGATTATTTCCTCTTGGATCCCTGGGATCAGTATTTTCTTTTAAATCTCATTACAATCTTATTAGGAGGTTCCAGGTTTGACTTTCAGCCTCTCTTCCCCAACAACCTGAGTTACAGATGAATTCAGGTGTACAAGTCTACTATCCACTATCTCCTTGGCAAGTTTCTCTTCCTGGTCCCAGAGAGGATCAGCTATGCCTCTAGCCACATGCACAGACAGAAATGATACTCATGGAATTGTTTACTTCCTCACAATTATTTCATGTGGGGAAATAAATCTCCCATTCCTTAGGAGAACCGCTCAGGTTCACTTGAGCCTGTAGTTCCTATTAAGTAAATCAAAGAACACTGATCTTAAACCAAGCAAGGGCACTGGCAAGAAGTGGGAAAGAGGGGAAAGACACCTCTTACCTGGAGATAACAGGAGCGCTGTTTGCAAATAGGTACCAGACAAAGGGAGGAAAGAAAAGGAAAGATCATTAAGATCCCATCATGAAAGTATCCCCAGACTTTGTTGTGGCTGGCAGCATAAGAAAAGCAATGAGCTTAGTAGGTGAGAGCTGAGGAACGCATGCAAAGAAAGCAGCACTTGGAGCATGCGCAGCAACAGCAGCAGCAAGAGGCGTGAGCAGCTGTAAAGGCTGCCGAGAAGTTAAGAGAGTTATCCCCACACTTCCCCTGCAACCTTGGAGAGCTAGGGATGGAGGAATGGGGGAACCAAATGAGAGGAACAGAGACTGAGTAGGTTACTCGTGATCCAGTCTGAAAAGAAGAAGTGAGAATCCAGTTATCATGGAAACTAGGTGGATTGCAACCTGCTAGAGGAGCTGGCTCATCAGTGGTGGGTGTGTCCATACGGCTTGAGTGGGACCTCAGGGAACCAGGTAGTAGTGTGCAAGAGTGCAATGGTGCCCGATTTTATGAGATCTATTCCTAACCTGACAATCAGACTATGATCTGCTCTCCAGTGCCCATAGATTTCTATGGCCACGAAGTGCATCTGAGCTACCACGTTTATTTCTCCTAAAAGAATGAGTTAGTGAAAAAGATAAGTCCTTCAGAATGTTTTCCTGAAATGGTTTGTCTTTTTTATAGATATATCCTGGAGGTTAGGGTCACGGACATGGACTCCTATCATTTTGTGTCACCTGGGTCCATTAAGTCCCTGCATCTAATAGTGTTCAGTAAAGTTTTGTTTTTCGCCATCTATTTTTGCAATCATCTTTTCCATGGATGCTGCATCTATGGGAGGTGGCCTTCTTTTTTCCAGAAAAGGCAGATGAAATCAGAGTCCATATATTCTGGAGAAGAGAGACTGTCAGAGAAGAGAGGTGACAAATGAAAGTTCCTTAGATGGACTGGGACATTGAACCAAGATAAAACCAACACAAGTTGTCCCTAGTCTCTGAATTTATAAACCTTGAGTTTATAGCATTTATCTGAATTTATAGCATGGTACTTATGCTAACTCTTTTAGACTTCAACATTCCTCCAAAAAAAAACTTATGACATACCATGCTTTTATTCTGATAGTGTCTTAGTAAAGCCCCTCACTACTTGGTGCTTGTCAGATAAGTCTGGAAACACCCTTCCATGATTGGTGGAAGGAGTATGTGTATGTGTGGTGGAAGGGAGTTGTGACTTATTTTTTCTAGGAATCTCTAGGAATGCCACTCAGGCCTGGGATCTATCATCCTGTATTCATAGCCACTGAAGACATGTGGACCCAGAATCGGCACACCATATAAACAGCAATTGATTCTTCCTGATATCTTCCATTTAGAATTCTAAAGAAGTAATGGATCAATGCCTATCTTCACCACATGGAGATAGAGAACAAGAGAACTTGTTTATTCTGCTCCTTCCATGCGTTTGCCTGGGAGAGCATCTCCTGGTCCCCGAGTTCCAGTGAAGGCTGGAGATCCCAACACATGAGTGTACCAGGACACACACCAAAGAAGTTCTTCCAAAAAGGTCCTAGTGCTCTGGTTTTCACTCAGATGTCCATTCCAACCCAGGCTCATTCCTAGAGCACAGAGAAGGCCTGCCACCAGCTGGAATTGCATCATTCTCTGGCCATTGTCGGCAGGAATCTGAGACTTCCCATTAAACAGCTACAGATGGGTCTGTGAGATCCAGGAAGGCCAACTTTGAGTGATGCAATACCTTGAGGGTGTTTTTCCTGTTGCTGCTGATGAGAGAAGCTGGAGTGGAACTTTCTCCTGTATTGGCCACCAGGGTCAGCTTGAGAGTCATTTAAACCCGCTTGTACACTCCAGGCACAAACAGAAAAGAGTATAGCTCTGTGAGTAATTAGGAAGCAGCTGGGGTATTTGTCTGGGTGTCCCTACATGTGGGAAGAGGAGGAACAAATAGGCCCAGTTATTGGAGGGTAGTGTTTTCCTTCCCCTCCTGAGACTTCCAGTGTCCAGATCCAGGCCCAACAGCCCTGAAGAAGCTGCTCACAGAAGCCGGTTTCGTAGACTCCAGGACTTACTCCACTCTAGGGCAACCATGTTTACTCTTTATCTTTCCTTTTTCCTCTACCACAGATTGTTCAGAGCTTTTAATATCACTTCTGATGTCTGTTTTGTTTGCCAAGAATACAGTCTTCTATTTCAAATCCTGTCCTTTATTTTTTTAAAAAAATGCAATTGTCATCTTGACCATGCAGAGAGTATGTCATTCTAAATGCCTAGGACTCTCCCATACAGCAGTGATAATGAAAAGCAATTTCCACTGTACTGTCTCTCACTCCGAGAGCAGCAGGGAATTCTGCAAATCAGTATGGGTTTTCATTTGATTCTGAGTCTAGACAATCTGGTTTTATGACCTTTCACCTTATGGTGGTCTGATGCCAATATATAAGAAGAACTGGAAAAAAATACCCCAAAAAACAAAAACCTGAAAGTCAACTCCCTAGGCCATAGGGCAGGAGGCTGAGAAATTGACAAATTTTTCATTGTCTGCTTCCATCTTAGGATCTTGGTCACTGGAAAGATATGGAGGTACATCCCACAGAGAGCTCGCTGAAATATTTGCCTTCTCACCTATACTCTCCCTCAAGAGGAGATTTCACCAGGGCTTTGCTGATAACTGACAAAGAATCCAGTGTAAAAAGGAAAGGTGTCCTCAAAGGGGGAGTAGCTATAGGTATTTGCATTTGGTCAGGTCTCTAGAGAGTAGAAGACCTATCTCAGGTCACTTTCTGTCCTGCAGTAGGTAGAGGTTTTAGGGGAGGGAGAAGAGAAGACTTTATTGACTGTTGGAACAAAGGCATAGATGGTGTTCAATTCTTTCCTCCTGGCTGGAGCCTCTGCCTTCCTTCCAGCTCCCCTGTATGAACCTTTGGGCTGCTTTGACTTGCACTAAGTAGCTGGAACTGTGGAAATTGATGATACTAGCTTACAATGGCCTCAGGTGTTTGCTAATTTCAACTAATCATGAAGAGGTGGAATAAATGCACAAGGGAGGTGAGAAGGAAGTAAAGAAGGTGCTGACACAACTTGTGAGAATCTCCTTAGTGGTAGGAACTGGATGATTAGCTGAAATTCAGTGAAATGGCACGAGAGATGCTTTCTCTCCCTTTGGCAGTCAGCTGATGGCAGCACCTTATTAGGTGATCAAGAAGAAGGTGAGCTATGGAAGATCCAGAGGGTGTCAACCCGTATACCACCAGATGTGCCCAAGCCAGTATGGCACAGAATTGGTTTAGCTCTTCAGGTACTCCCCAGAGGATGGAAAGAACAGATCAAACAAACATGTCTGAGAAGAGCTATAGAGGAGCCTTGGGAAATGCTGCTGCCCAATCCTTTGGGTCTGTTGGCTTCTTGCTGTTCCTTGTTACACGAATATGAAGTGGTTGCAAAATGATTGTCCTTTTTGAACAATGGGTGAATTTCACTGCTCCGTTCTCCATGAGACTCCCGGCAGCATCTCTTCCCTTAAGGGGAGTACCAAGGTCCTCCTCTTGGTATTTCCCTCGAGCACGCTTACTCATTCCCACATCTATTTCTCTGACTCTTTCAAAGGGGTAGCTTCAATCATTTTCTTCAAGGGGAGAAACACTTCCTTCTTTCTACCCTGGTTGCAACATAATCAGCCCCTTAGGGATAAACCACTGGCAGGTACGCTGAGATGCATGTCCTGAGGAGGAGGAGGGGCCACTTCTCTAGTGTGGGATAAAGGTTATTTGAGGGATTTAGGCAATATCCTCACTTGTGGATGCCAAGCTAAGGTAGGTGTACATGAACCATCCATTAGCTGTCTTCAATAGTTACCCTCAGAAACCAGCAGCAGAGACTACAGCATTGAGAGTCCCTTCCATTGGTAAACCCATCATCAATCCTCAGGGCCTACTTAGAGTCAGTTTATTTCAGGGCTTACTGGCTAGGGGAATTTTCACACCTGGACTTACTTCTTTTCTCTTGAAGACTATCAGTTTTTTGCTTTAAAGCTTGGATTATCCCAAAGTAGCTTGAATTAATTACCCTACCTTGGGCTTCAAAGAGGGGTAGAATGGGGTGGACAGGATGCTGGGGAGAGGAAGAGTAGCTCAGGATTCCAGGTTGCAGGACTACCTCAGGAGCCAGCTCTCTCTCAGAGAGCTCCAGAAGCCTCTGACAACTGGTATACCTCCCCCTTGCCACCGTTGACCCAACTGGGAAATAGCCAGATGACACACTTACCTCCATGAAGGGCAGAGGGGCCCATGGGCCACTCTTGCAAGTGAATAGCCTGCCAAGCATTCATTAGAGGTCGAAGGATGCAGCAGAAAACTGTCAAAGCATCATGGCAACGTGAGCCCCCACCCCCATCCCCCACCCTCCCATATTCAATCCTGGCTAGAGAGTGAGGAGTGGCAGGGTAAGAGGCAGGGAAGGGGCACAGGCATGCAGCACATCACATTCCTTTCTCTTTCTTCTCCTCCCCACCCATCAAGGAGTCTTCCCAATCACAGGCTACGGTATGGGGTGGGGTGCAGGGGACAGCGGTAACTGGATAAGTGTAGCAACACATAGAAGTAACTCATCAGGGTCGTGAGGAGTTGAGGCCCCAGTGCTGCCCAGAAGGCGGGAAAGGAGGACTTTGGAAATAAACTATGGCTAAGAAGGCAGAGATGAGACCGAAACAGGGTGAGAGCGAGAATACAGGAGGGAAAAAGAATTAAAAAGTCCATTGGCCAAAAGGAGAAAGGAGGAGGAGGAGGAGGGAAGAAACAGGGTGGAGGGGAGAAAAAAAAATAGAGTTGCTTTTTTCTTTTGGATTGTTTAAAAAAAAAAATTCTTGCTTTTTTTGGTTTGTTGTGGTTGTTTTGTTTTTAAAGAATCTCACACCTGATATTCCACGTTCCATCCATTTCGGTTCACCAAGGGCAATGAAGAAATTCTCTTGCCTTTCGTATTCCTCCTCATCTACTATTTTAACCCTTATGGTTTTCCTGTAGGGACAACAAGAGAGAGAGTGTGTCGACTGGGTGGGCAGGTTGGTCAGTCACCTGGAGCATAGCCTTTAAAATCATTCCCCGTCACTCTTGGCACATGCAGCCCTGTCCCACCACGGTGGCCTTGGATAGGACTATGGTGGATTGTGATGTTCTCATATAAAAAATGGTCTCGGCTTTTCTTGTCTCCTTGATCACAGTTGTTCTTGTGGGTGAGAGGGAAAGGGAGCCAGGAGGCCAGGACAGGTGGGCAAAGGGAGGGGCCAGGAGGACAGGAAGGAAACGGGGAGGGAGATTGGGGATGATGGTGGGAGGAGTCCTTTTAGGTCCTGCCGAGGGTTAGTAGGAGGTGAGTGGGGCAGCACATTCCACAGGGTGTCACATGGTAACAGTGCCATTTCTTTTAGGCTGCAGGTCAACTACCTGCCTGTTGGGATGACCCAGAACTTTCTACCATAGCAAATACATCCGTGGAACCCAGGACCTGGATCCCCCTTTTTTTTTTGTGCCTGTACCCACTTCTCACATGAGTCTCTTAAAGAAAAATTTAAAAGGAAAAGCATTTATGAGGAAGGTAGAGAGAGAGAGAGCAGTGGGAAAGAACGGGCAGCAGAAGTCTACTGTCTTTCTCATTCTTTATTTGATAGTGGACTTGTGCTATCAGGTGGGAACCAGAATAAACAAATACTAACCACAAAATGATACAAGAATCCATTATATTTCTACCTCTATTGCATGGGATGTTGGTCCTAAGTCTGGCTTCATAAAAGCTGATTAACTTGGGTTTGGGGCACAAGGTAGTGAGATTTCTGTTCATCTCTGGCTATCTTAAAGAGGCATGGTGTCTTTTACAAGCATATCATTCAGGGAAGCAAAATTTCTTGAAAGTCATTACCCTACAGACTGGCTGGAGGCTAGCACAGGTTCACTGTCACCTGGAGAATTTGGGCATGTCTGTCTCCTGGTCCTTCATGGAACCACAATGGTGGTTAGCAGGCCCAATTAGTGAGCTGGAATTATTATTTTCTGGGGTTTTTTGGGGGGGGGGTTGAGAGGAGCAGTTGGCTGGGACCTAAATTCTCTCAAAGTGCAAAGAGAATGAATGAATGACAGCTTAGCTGTGTCCTCAGATCCTCTGATATTCCTGTGATATTCTAAAGACATGCTCTGCTTTGCTACTAGTAAAGTAGTAAAATGATCTGAGCTGTTTTTTTTTTGCGGGGGGCGGGGGGGTCACAGGACTTGATGCATGTGCGTGCATGCATGTGTTTCAAAAGTACATCTTTGGTGACCTTTGGGGCTCTTTCTTGGACACCATTTCATACTTCGCTCCGTGAACCAAAGACAACACTCACTGATTGTTGAGCCATTTTGGGGTGATTTCTTCTCCTTAGATATGAGGTCCTGGGTTATCTATAAAATGTGAGTGAGACTGTTTTTCTGCCACAGAGACTTTGCTATTCAATAGGAATTGGGAGCTCTGCACCCATGAGCCTGGCCCAGAGGGACATGATTGATGACTTAGCCAAAGAACATTGCCCCCCAAATCTAGTAGTTGCTTCCTCCATGGTATGATCTAGATGGAAAGGATTTCCTGACCTGCTTAGTGGAGGCCATGGGATGTGCAGGGTCGTGTAAGTTGAAGGCAAAGGACTCCATCCACTCTGAGCAGTTCTATGAACTTGTTGGAGAAGCTTCCCTGAAGATCAGAATCCTCTGGCCCACTACTCCAAATCTGCCTGCACACCTAGCTGCTCTGAGTGGGAAAATAGAGTAAGACAGGAAGATCTTTGACTGGTATTTCCAGCTCAGTCAAGGTCAGGGAAAGAACTAAGTCTTAATAGTAGGGATGTGGCAGGTCAGACGGCTCCTGAAGCCTGCTTTGGGAGTGGAATGAACCATGACCCCCCAAAACACAGATTCTCAACTTTTGAGGACTCTAAGCTCAGCCCTGGGAATAACTGTCCCCGTCAATCTGTGCTGAGTCTCTTTCCTCGGGCTGCCTCTTGTCCGCCTCTGTGCTGCTGCCCTTTCTCTTTCCTGTGCTCTGAGTCATTCAAGAGAAGTGGAGAATCCACATTCCATACTTCTGGGGCTTGGGCAGGAGTCTCTCTCTCTCTCCCTCCCTCCCCCTCCTCATCCCAGAAAAATTGCCATTGGTTCTTGAGCATCCCTTTTCTGGATACCATGTGACAAGTTGGCAGGTGTTAGGAGAGAGCTGGGAACAGAGAGAGAGGACAGAGGAGAGGGAAAAGTGAACAGAGAACAGGAGAAGAAGAAACAGGGAAAGAGACTCAGGTAGAAGAAAGAGAAGGAAGAGGAGAGAGAGAGGGGTTGTAGAAAGGAAGAAAGGAGAGAAGAATGTTAATGTTAGTGTGGAGGACAGGGTACTACACCTTTCTGAAAACTCATATCCACCATGCGGGGGCCCATCATCTGAATGAAGTAATTCTTGTTTTTCTCATACGCCTCATCATCAATTACCTTGATGTGAATCGTTTTGCTGTGGATGGAAAAATAAGTATCATAAGCCAGGAGCCGAGTGGGGGCAAACCAACCAGGAGAAAAAACAGGAAGAGAAGGAAACAGCAAAAAGAGGCAGAGAAGTTCAAGTCTGCCCCAACACCACAGAGGTGGTGGCATGGGGGAGAGTGACTGCCCAGGGCCCCCTCCAGACTCAGTGGGCTGCTTCTGTGCTTCACGTAGCTACACTATGTGACCATACTCAAAGACTGGAGGGAGCTTGGGCTTTATGGTCAAAGGCTGTGTTCTAATTACAGCTATGCTGTGTGATCTCAGACTTTTTTTTTTTTGGTACCAGGGATTGAACCCAGGGGCACT